AATAGAATGAGATGGAATAGAACACGATAGAATAGAACACGATAGAGTAGAGTAGATTAGTTTACAGTAGTAACTGGAAAACTGTGTTCTCTCTCTGACTCCCCAGACCAGCCCGGCTGCCTCCCCACGCCTGTGAGAGTTTACAGTAGTAACTGGATAACTGTGTTCTCTCTCTGACTCCCCAGACCAGCCGGCCTGCCCTCCCCACGCCTGTGATCTGGTGCCCGACACTCCGTACGGCCCGGCGCAGTGTCCGTTCGGGGTGGCGGCGGACGGAAACGGCTGTGTCGGCGATCCCTGCACCTGCTATCGTGAGTATGGGTAGTCTACAAGCAGAGGTTGTTGGGGGGGGGGGGGAGTATCGTTACCATTTAATAGATATATAGATTCTTTATTGACACAGCAAAATATTACAGGGAATTTTGTATAGTATTCTACAACTTCAGGTCTAACAAGGCTACCTACATGTATGGATAAACGCCATCGTATGTACACATAGGTATGCGGCAAAATACGTACGTACGAAATATATGTCAGCGGTAACAATAAAGGTTTTGTATTCTCTAACATGTAGTCTCTAACATTGAGGCATTCTTTTATATATATTGTCGCTATGGGCTACATAATATTAGAGTTTTTATGTTTTTATTTTGTATGGCCTTGTGTGGCGTATTGGACCCTCTCTGATCACTGAATGTTGCCTGGCCAATTTGATACTGTCTTTTGCAACCCTAAGATCTGTTTGGTAGGTGAACGGTCACGCATCACGTAGACTAGTCCATGCAGTATTGGTCACCCAACTGTAAATGTGTGGCCCAAGGGCAAAGAGGAGATGGGCACCGCCCTATACACCCAGATTTTCGGAGAAGGATTTAACTTGGCTCTTACTCTCGTTGATTTTTTTAAAATTACTTCACAGGGCAGCCAGAAGGCTGCAGCACGATGCCGTGTTACTACTGGACGACATGCGCAGTTTACCGCACAGACGACAGCGGCTGCGCAATCTGCTATCCTCCATGTGCCGGTAGGCGGCGCTTTTTGATTATCTCTACCAGGGTCCTTTGGCTCCATGAATAATTTCCTAGACAAATTATGCAACCAATAGTTATAAATGCGTAAATTGTAAGCAACCATTTTTAATCAAGCTTCTTTTCAGGTAAAGTTGAGCTTGGAAAGTTAAAAATTAAGTACAAAAAGTTCTATGGCAGGTTTTTTGATAAGATTATTGTCGTAAACAAACAAGATTGTGTCCGCTGAGTTAAAAACATTTTTCGTTTCTTACAGATGGTTCTATGCCAGGCATCATCATCGGCTGAAGTTCCGTTGTCTGCTTGTCTGAATCATAGCCCACCATTTGGTAACTGGTTCAGCGGGGCTCTCTGTTCAATAAATGATCTATTCCTTGAGTCCATGAGATACAGTGTATCATGTGTGATGATTGTACATGTTCGGAAATTGTCAGGAAGTAGTCACATAATTGCACATTCATGTTATTTAATGCTAATAGGATAATGGTAAATGTAATTTGAGAGCAAAATTATTACTTCAAAATCCCTCAGAAAATTATACTTTTGCAATCAATCATTAAGGTTTCTAAAATATGCGTGGAAGACATTTACAGATAGCATTCGTAGACAAAGAAACATCATATCTACCAATTTTCCTTTCAAATGGCTACATGACTAAGTCTTTAAAATGACCGACTAAAGAATGTAGGCATTTTATCTCACCATTATGAATAACATGGCAAGGTACTGGTGAATGGTACAGTCCACATTACGTCATGTTAAGGTCATCGTCCGATCGATCAAAATGGCGGACAGGTAGGCGGAAACTTCTCCCCACCGTTACGCACCCGACCAAAGACCGTGAAAATTTGCCGTACTTCTACCGAGACTCAAGACGCTAAACTTTCGTGAGAAGGGAACAAGTCAAGCAAGATGTCCGAGCGGGAACTTGAAGAGGTAACCTCTTTTTTTTACTTACCTTGTGTTGTGTTGTAGAATTCCAATACAGTCTTTTATCAGTGGCCAACTAACATAAAGAAGCTCTAGTTGATTGGTGGAAATTGTAATATAACAGGTACCGGAACAAATATGATAATTATATGGACATTTTAATTGATTTTTTGAGACGCGAACCTTCGTGAGAAAGGTACAAGTCAAGCAAGATGTCCCATTGGGTACGTGAAAAGGTTAACTGTTTTACTTGCATGGTGTAGTAAAATTTCAACTTGTTTATCTTGCATTAGTGGTCAGTTGTGGCCAAGTAACGTAAAGAAGGTTCAGTTGGGATATTGTAATATAGCAGGTACCGTGGCAGATATGGAATGGACGTCTAGACTGATTCCCTACCTGAATATGAGCAATAAAATAATAACATAACAACGTTCTGGGCATGCGTGGTCCAGCGTCTGTGGACTTTGAACGTCCGTTACCGATGTTTGATCAAGTTTGCTTGGTAACCAGATCGCACCCGTAATTAGCAACAGGTTTATAACTGTTGCCCTGTTTGAAGAGCAAATATTGGGGAAGACGTCTGAATACCTGGATTGTTGTTTAATTGATGATGAATAAAGATGTTAAGCAGTCACTTCCAAAAGTCCATTGCGTAGTTTAAACGATGTAAAATCCCGTTGTTTCTCTCCTTTGTGGCTGGCAAAAGTTTGCGCAATCATACGTGCATCAATATCAAGCAAACTTCAGGTGTTTGTTATCATTACGTTTATATATATAAGGAATTACTTAAGATAATACCAGTGACTCCATATCCATAGTATTATCCATAGTATTATAGTTTTATAACTGTTTGAAGAACAAATATTGGGGAAGACGTCTGAACACCTGGATTGCCTTTTAATTGATGTTGAGCAACCACTTCCAAAAGTCCATCGCAATACTAAACGGTGTGAAATTACGTTGTTTCCTCTCCTTTGTGGCTGATGAAAGCACAATCGTACGTACATTAATATCAAGCAAACTTCAGGTATTTCTTTACATCATTACGTTTAGGGAATGACTTCTAAAGATAATACCAGCGACTTCAACTTATTATACTATAAAAGTATAAAATGATATCCAATAAACTAGATACGGTACTTGTAGAAGGGCAAGTTATGATATTCTTTTTTCTACCTCCGTGTTGTTTTCTTGCTGTATTAAGATGATGAATGCGGCTTTCTTCAGGCACTCCGCGATGCAGCTGCTGAAGGAGATGAAGAGAAGGTGACGGAGCTGCTCCGACAGGGAGTGGATGTCAACTGTCAGCACTGGTTGGTGAGTAGGGATGAACCACTTTGTTGAATCACAGACAAGTCACGGAGGTCGATTTATATTGGCGGTGTCTGTCGTAGGCCCATATATGCATGGGTCCTTTTTCTTTTCTATCGTTAGACTTGACTTACATGTACGTGACTTATGTCGAGTCCTGTTGCCCCTGGCCACGAGTCAAAATGGTAATCTCCAAGCAGATTCGGTGGGGCAAGGGGACTTTATATTGGCCAGCCCTGTATCCATTGGCCGCCTGTATCCAACGTTCGCCCCACCCCACCGAATCTGCTTGGAGATTAAAAATGGCAGCCCAAGGGTCCCTGTCTTCCATGGCTTGGCTCAAGCCAGAATGTTCGTTAGAAGTAATCAGGTTCACAGAGTCTGACGTTTCAGAACACCCTTCAGTGGTGTCAGCTGAACTAACACACTGTAGTCGCTCCACATGATACGCAGTTCTAAGTTCTCCCAAGGTAAAAAAATAACAGATACTGAACAGGACAACGTGTATCGTCATTCCCCCCCACATGACACACAGTTTCCTCGAGGTGAGGATATCGGTTACTGAACAAGGGAACTTGAAACAGGCTATTGAACATTAAACGCCAAGCATATTTAGTGTTTGGCACTATGTGGCTTTCTCCCTATGGATGATGATAATGATATAAGGTCAAGTAATATAATGTGAAGTGATAAAAATTGAATTTCAAAAGTGTTCATGAGCAAAAACCAATGGGCTTCTCTTACCATGTATTTATACCTAATGCCTGTAATCCGTATCTCTGTTCCTGCTGTTACACTTACAGTTTGGAGACTCACCGCTTCACAATGCAACTTTACGAGGACATGTTGGTATTGTTGAACTCCTCCTGAAGGCTGGAGCACAGGTGGACAGTAGGGATCTGGTAAGGGTTGATACTTACTACAGATGATCAGGGCATGTTTGAGCGTTGCGTTTCACGCATATTTATATTTACTTATATTTATATTTATTACGGTAATGTGGACAGGCTTCTAATCCCATGTAATGTCATCTCTGTTCCTGCTGTTACAGTATGCAAAAACGCCACTCCACCGTGCAGCTTCAGGAGGACATGTTGGTGTTGCTGAACTCCTCCTGAAGGCTGGAGCACAGGTGGACAGTAGGAATCTGGTAAGAGTTGATGCTTACTACAGGTGATGGACATGTTTGAGTTTTTAACGTCAGGCATATTTAGTTGGTGTTTATTAGGATGATGGAGACAGATTTTTCTTACCATGTAATGTCATCTCTGTTCCTGCTGCTACAGGATGAAGACACGCCACTTCACCGTGCAGCTTCAGGAGGACATGTTGGTGTTGCTGAACTCCTCCTGAAGGCTGGAGCACAGGTGGACAGTAGGGATGAGGTAAGGGTTGATGCTTACTACAGGTGATGGACATGTTTGAGTTTTTAACGTCAGGCATATTTAGTGTTTATTAGGATGATGGAGACTGGCTTCTCTTCCCATGTAATGTCATCTCTGTTCCTGCTGTTACAGGATGACGACACGTCACTTCACCGTGCAGCTTCAGGAGGACATGTTGGTGTTGCTAAACTCCTCCTGAAGGCTGGAGCACAGGTGGACAGTAGGAATCGGGTAAGTGGTGGACAGTGTGGGTCCGGTAAGGGTTGATGCGTATTACAGGTGGACATCTTTAACTTCACGTATATTTAGTGTTTATTAGGGGAATGAAGACAGGCTTCTCGTACCATGTAATGTCATCTCTGTTCCTGCTGTTACAGGTTGGAGACTCGCCACTTCACCGTGCAGCTTCAGGAGGACATGTTGGTGTTGCTGAACTCCTCCTGAAGGCTGGAGCACAGGTGGACAGTCAGGGTCGGGTAAGGGTTAATTTGTACTACAGATGATCAAGGCATGTCTGAGTGTTAAACGTCAGACATATTTAGTAAGTGTTTATTAGGATGATGGAGACAGACCTTTCTTCCCATGTGACGTCATCTCTGTTCCTGCTGTTACAGGTTTTTGACACGCCACTTCACAAGGCAGCTTCAGGAGGACATGTTGGTGTTGCTGAACTCCTCCTGAAGGCTGGAGCACAGGTGGACAGTAGGGATAAGGTAAGGGTTGATGCTTACTACAGGTGATGGACATGTTTGTTGTGCTCAATGGTATAATGAGCAAACTCCAAGCAATATTAACATGTCTTTGTCTGCGTTGAGAAAACAATATTTCTGAACAAAAATCGTACGAATGTATATTGATATGTTTTCTGTATAGCACGGCGAGACTCCTGAGGACATAGCGGCAAGTACAGATGTTCCAGACTGGTACGATGATAAAGATCGCGTCCTGGAGGGAAGGAAGAAGGTTCTCGAGCTTTTTGCAGCAGAAAAGGCCGGTCGGTAGGTAAAACCTGGTTTCTAGTCTTGCATAATTAATGTTAATGATGTGTTATCAGGAAAGCATAACGAGACAAGCATTAAAGCACTCATTTATTCAGAGTTTCTTGCAAATACATGCCCAATGACTTATTTAAGTACAAACAACATGAGAATACAGTGATATAAGGGACTACGTCCAACGTTATGCTACATTTAATTGTAAAATAGAAATCTCTGACAAAACACAACTGAATACGATAATCATTGTTCATTTTATTAGACTATAAAAGCAGGATATGGAGACTTGCGTAGAAATGAGTTTAAAACAGGAATGATATGCTAATTGTTGTCAGCCGTCTGTATAATGCTTTTACTTCGCTTGTACAGTACAGCTGACACCTTTTATTTGTTGTAGGGACCGCATTATTCATCATACCGAGTGAATATACTAATTCGAGCTGTATGAGCATCGGACAATGATAGTATGTATACACAAGTATGTATACATAATACGGTTTTCCATGTTTTGTCACAGCCTTTACAGGTGCAAAGTGGGTCCAAAAGGAGGTGCCCTGAAAACACCATTTTGCACCGTCTCTGTACTGGGTGGGGCCGTTACCATGGAAACAGAAATCACGTGTCAGGTCATCAACCCTAATGACGTCACCCTTCCCCTGAAGGACGGACAGATGTTAGTGAGTGACGTCATAGAGCTGGGCCCGCACGGGACAACCTTCCGCAAACCTGTCACTGTGCAGATGCAGTACAGCAGCAAGTCGTTAGATGGCGCTACGGAAGCTGCCGTGTGGGTCACTGAGGACAGGTCACAATGGACGGAACTTAAGACCACTAAAGAAGTACGTAGAGAAACTTAATAGCCTTTAAGATTGAAAACTCCATACTAAGTCCTGTAATAAGATGGACATAAGACTCTGCCATTGGAAGGACTACTGATATCTGACCGACAGTTCTCTATAACATGTGGTATATTTCGTTTTAGACCAGAGACAAGCTTGCCGTATCAGTGAAGCATTTCTCCATCTTTGCCGTCATCAGTCAACCCAAACAGGACAAGTTTACTGTGCCTACAGAAGGGCACACTCTGACGTCATCAACGCAGCCTGCGGTACAAATCAGCTTCCCGGAACAGGCTGTGACCACAGAAACCCAGGTTACAATTCAGGTAAGGATTTAATTAAGTACTAGTAACTTGTCTTAACTTTCGATGGCCACTCTCCTTATAGATATTACACAAACATTCCAACATTTTCTGTCGCTAAATTGTAAAGTGTAGTAAGCAGTGCAATAAAGTGATCTTCGAATGTTTACCTGGTTCATGAATCTAATATGAAAGCATCATTAATTGATCTAACCCAGAAGTTTATTTCAATCGTAGGTACAAGAGGTTCCAACAAGAGCAATTGAGGACATCAAGGCAAAGGACGAGTCTTTCGTCAACCTTGTTGGCACCAGCCCGATAGTCAATGTCGAGACTGTGTCGACCTCCGAAGTCCAGTTCCACAAACCGGTCACAGTGCGAGTCCCACATCCTCAACACTACATGGACATCCAACATGAGGGGCCCACCAAACTGAGGGTGATGTCATGTGAGGAGGGAACAGAAGACTGGGTAGATGTGACGGACAACATCAGTATGAGCAGGGTTACACATGAGTTTGTGGAGTTCGAAGTCAGTCATTTTACCAGGTAATTTTGTTGGTTTACATTAGAAAGTAAGGATAACATCACATACTGGGAAGCAATGTTTAAATACATTTCAGTCATGTCATTTGAAATAGATGGAGGTTTCCTTAATCTATCAAACTACACATCTCTTAGCATGCACTTGTCACTAAAGTAAACCGATCAAATGCATACTTTATTTCCAGATGGATTGTAATCGTTGTCACAGACATCTTCGGTGACACAGAGGAGCTCGGACCGATCCGTTTGAAGACTCTTTGCCGATGGCTTCAACACCGTCCTGTTCAGTTCATACTGATGCAACGAGATGATAACACAAACGAATTTGTGGTAGAATGTACTCCAGCCGAAGATGCAGAAGGGAAGCACTCAGCACTACTCCAAAAGGGGTACAAGGGTCCGTTGCCTACCAAGTCAGCAATTGATCTATTCGAAGGACAGGTAGTAGAAATAGCATTGGTTGGAAACGTGTCAATCGCAACCTTTGGTTTAGGAAGCAGCACAAAGCAACACATCACCTTCCACAGCCAAAGAGGCAGCCGCCATCAGATGCAGATCATGGCTTTGAAGGCGACAGACCAACACGGTCTGGATGGTAAAGGAAGTGCTGCTTTCTTTGCACTACCACGCGTCGAAGTCGTAAAACAAAAAAGGACAGCTTACCTGCGGAAGAGACATGAAAAACTCGCGCATCCACCCGGCAGAAAGCTTCAGGAGCCAACATTTCTGTGCCAGCTCCCAGTCCATGTGCCAATTGGGACTACAGATCAGGTAAAGCAGCATTTCTGCGCTGTTGGTATTGACCAAAAAAAGGGATCTGAACCGTAGTGGTTTGAAATTACCTATAAAGCAATAGAAATAACAATAGCTCTGTCGAGGCACACATTGAGAAAGCCTCTCCATCTTTACGACCACTACAAATGTATGTTGCACGAAAACTTGAAGCATACCTAATATTTTTTTTCTGTTTGCAGGTATCAGCAGACGCTGAAGATAGCAAGAGTTTGGAACGTAAGACGATTTTTTAACATAATGTTACTTGCGGCAGGTTTTGCAAGTTGTCTTAGAATACAAGAATATCGAAATATTCACACATTAATATTTGCAACATTCAATCTTAAGTCTTACATGTTGTAAGAATATACCTGGCATGGTGTACTGAATGTCGTGGTAAAATTCACACTCATCTGATAAATTACGAATGTGTGTGTACAATGCACGAACATCATCGCGTACAAAATGGCATTGTTTGTTCTACCATCTCTTTTAGGCGTTGGGAAGTACTTCTATTTCATCAAGGAAGCAGTGAGCACAGACTGGAGGGATTTGGCCTTCCATCTTGGGTTCAAATGGGCCGACATCGAAAACATTGCCTCGAAAGACGGAAACCACGACGACAAGTCCCGCTGCATGGACATGCTGCAGGAATGGAAGAAGAAGAAGGGAGACGCCGCTACCATAGAGGTCCTGATGGAGGCTCTGTCAAAGGCAGGGCTGCAGAGCGTCGTGGATGGTTTGAAGAAATATTCACTAGAAGTTGGAAACTATGGGTAAGCATTTTATGCAAGTAAAACTCAACCACAACTGTGCTATGATGTTTTTGTATCAATGTTTGTTACAGCGTTCGAATATGCGCCTAGTAAGTTTTAATAGAAACTTCATCTCTATTTTCCTCCTCCATCAGGAAGACTCCACCGGCAAGAGGAGAAGACGCAAGCTGCCCTCCGTAAAGGTGACAGATACTTGCACCTGCATTTTTCATAGATACAAAACAATGAACATATGATCGACTGACGTTATTTAAATGATTCACACAATTACAAGTAAGATTTTGTGGTGATAAATCAAAGTGGTGGCAAAAGGATATAAGTTTAATGTAAGTCAGTGATTCACTGTGAGAGACTTAACGAAGTAGACTAGCCAATGTAGCAATACACCCATTCATCAATTATCACTTTCATTTCGTACCTTACCGGTGCCATAACTATTAGTCCCAAAAGATAGAAATGGTCACACAATGCCATTGAATCAAACACATTACGATGACCATGCTGCCTTCTTTTTGCAGTTCGTTCATCCTTTACAAGAATGTTCACTGATATTTTCTGCAGCAAAGGAGAAACCAGGACAACTAGAAACTAAACTGCGAGCCTCTTCACCCGTCAACGAACATGACTCGCGAAAAGCTGACAATCCAAGCTTTTGATCTAGTATTTAGTCATTGCTTTGTCCATGCCTTTTTAATCTTTGGCATAGGTTAAGTCGCAAATAAGCAGACGTTATATGGAAACATTGTTGGACGTAGTTACATTGTATACATTTGAACTTTCCAAGAACTAAACAGTTTTAGTATTCGTCGATGAAGGTTAGACATCCAGATAATACGATACGCCAAAAAGTAGTTACTCAAGCAACTGGATATGATTTTTGAAAACGTGAAAATCACGTTGACGTTTTCAAAATCATATCCAGTTGCTTGAGTAACTACTTTTTGGCGTATCGTATTATCTGGATGTCTAACCTTCATGAGTATTCAACCAAACTGATGTGTTATGCCAAAAGGCGATTATACCTGCTATTCTATAGCAGTAAATAGAGAACGTTATGTTTAGGGGCCAATAAGTGACTGATTGTGGGAAAAGATTTGGACAGTTTATTGAAGTGTTGTCATTTCAAGTTTTATCAACATATCTTTCAATCTCTATTGAAACCGTTCGAGAAATGATTATTTTCATAGAGCTGAGTTTCAAGTAAAGTCCTCACAATCATTGCCTTTCATAATGATCTAGCAAAGAGGTCCAAATATGTAAATTTACTTAGCTAAAGTGTTTAATCTGTCGAGTCAGATGTGATTGCAACTTGTATTAATGACCCTACTATGAACAATTTATGTTCTAAACAAGCATCGGAAATTCCGCCTTGTACGTCACGGCTGCCAGTCATGCTGTTGTTTATACAAAAAAACAATTAACAATTAACAAAAAAACGTCAAATGTAAACTAAACAATGTTAGAAAATTGTTATAGCAACGTTAACGAAGACCTCCATCGACTGATTTCATTGTTATCTTCGTTAAGATGCTGCTTTGCTTGCAGCGTTAACATTTTTATCTTTTATAGTAAAACGTTAAACTTTATTCCAACACACTATTTACAGGGATCAAATTTTCAGCGACCACTGTCGCCTTCATCAGGATAATTAATGACCAATCACTTCACAACGTGATCTCGCGAGAGTTACGGTTTACAAACACGTGACCTTATTCACACGAGACTTTACTGATACGTGACGTAAGCAATCGATCAAAAGTGCCAGGGAGTTTATATCGTCCACCATCTCTATTAAGTGAAGGCTGAAGTGCTCTGATATATATAGCCTCCTTAATGCCTCTTAGAAAGTAGTCTTTTGTCTTTTGGCAGTTATGTAAGTCTAAGGTAGGCTTATTTTGTAGGATCTAACAGCTACTCAATTTATGACTCAGCTGCTTATTAGAAGCTGTTGTGGTCATCCTTCTCATACTCTATGCCTTGTAGGAAGGTAGTTGTTGATATTGCAACTTAATGAAGAAGCTGACAATTATGGTAAATGTGTATTTGTGTGCAGGATTTTAACAATAAAAGTTTATGATTTTGCGATTTGTTGGTTGGTGACTTCAAGACGTGCGAGGGGGAAGAAAGAGAGTGATACACCGACAAGCACATCCAAGAGAAAAGCGCATCCGAACAATGCCCAATTCACATGAGTAAAAACAAGTGTCTAAAATTGAGAGCAGCAGCAAATATACTAAAAGTACATGCTAGCGGCACACACGGTGTGATTTTACATCATGTTCCATACAATAAACTTGCTGCATAGATAATATAGTATTAATATAAATAATAATACTCATGTTTGAACCTCGTGACTTAATACAACGCTATAGTATAATGCTACGACACGCAAACTTACTACTATACTTGTCAAGACATTCGTACATTTCTTACGCCGAACGTCATTCGAAGACGGGCAAACTTAACGAAACATGTTCTCACAAAAGTCTCTAACAAAAAAAAATAATCACAAATGAGAAAATCTTTGACAATACTTTGCGAGGAAGATAACGGACGTTATTATGTCAGAACCTCTCAAAGGTAATTTACACCGCTGCAGTTCCATGCAAAGCCGCTGGTTTACCCATAATTGACCTTGACCTTTGTTGTTCCAACTCCGACCTACCTGCCAAATACCATAAAGATACATGCACCACACCCCGTTATAACCGGGTAGATATCACCAACCCCTATATATTTGTACCTAACACATAACTCTATGGAAGAAAGTAATGATTTAGGTGATTTAGGAGTTTACATTTTCCCATAATGCATAATGTAAGGATTCAATATTCCGTGGAAGTCCCTCCTAAGGGAATGGTAGATCCTGCCACCGTTGGTGAGTGGGCTAGTCCAGTGACCAGTTAGAACCAGTTCAGTCAAGAACATCTCTTCTCTAGAATACACAGTACCCAGGCTACACACCTCTAGTCTCCTCTATTCATTGCCAAACCTTGGGGGACAGGGCAAGGAATGGCTCGTTAAAAAAGATAGCAAGTAACAAATACCTACATAGCTAGAGTGGAACCGTCCAAATAACGCCGTGACTGTCACCAAAACATCAAGACCATAGCATGTTCAGGACAAAAGATACAAAATCCGGAAGTTCTGCTGCAGTACCAAGGTCATCCACCAGGAGGCCCATATTTGACCTTGACCCTTGTCTTTCTAAGACCTACCAACATGCCAAATATCATCACAATCCATAAAGGCGTTGTGAAGTTATGCTGACTACAATGTGCGGAAACACAAACACACACACACACAGACACACACACACACACAGACGCACAGACACACAGACACGCCATAAACAATACCTCCATTTTTCATGGAGGTAATACCAACGTCCCGGTAGCAAATACCTGCTTAGAGTGGAACCGTCCAAATAACGCCGTGGCTGGTACAACCATGAAGGTAATGAACCATGACGTTACCTATGTGAGCGACCCATCAGACAAAATGGCGGACAGGTAGGCGGAAGTTTTACCTGACAGGTCCACACCCGACCAAAGACCGTTAAAATTTGCTGTACTTCTGCCGAGACTCAAGACGCGAAACTTTCGTGAGAAGAGTACAAGTCAAGAAATATGTCCTGGGCCAAGCTGAAACTTGAGGAGGTAAACCCTTTTACATACCTCGTGTTGTGTTGTGTTGTAGAATTCCAATACTGTGGTAAGATGCATTGGTGGTCAGTTGTGACTACGTACTTAAGGCAAAGAATCTTATCAATTAAGTTGATCGGTTGGCCCCCATATATAGACGGGTTGCAAATGCAGTGCCCGAATCAATATAGATACCGTATATTATATATATACAGCCTGGTGGTATACCTCGGAGATCCGGGCGATATCCGGAAATATCTGTATCGGTATATCCGGTATAACCACCCTTCGGCGTAACACAACAGCTTAGTAAGTTTGCAGGAGCGGCGCAGAAGAAATCAAGTGCCAAGAATTCTGAGACTTCATATCTCCATAAAATATGTTTATGAACATGTTTTTTGGAGGGGGGGCTTTGTCTCATTGTTGACGGAAATAAGGTCGTAATTAACATAATTTAGTTTAATAATTTTGCATGTGAAATTCCAATCCTACCAGATGATACCAGTGGCTCAATATCCTTAAAAGAATAGAAATATCAAATAATCTAGATACATGTACTTGTAGAAGGGCATAAGTTATGATATTTCTTTTTTCTACCTCCGTGTTGTTTTCTTGCTGTATTACCGGTATGCCGATGAATGTCACTTTCTTCAGGAACTCTTCATTGCAGCTGATGGTGGAGATGAAGAGAAGGTGACGGAGCTGCTCCGACAGGGAGTGGATGTCAACTGTACCGACTTGGTGAGTAGGGATGAACCACTTTGTTGAATCACAGACAAGTCACGAATGTCGATTAATATAGCCGATGTCTGTCGTAGGCTCAGATGTACATGGCTCCTTTTTCTTTTCTATCTTTAGACTTGACTTACTTGAGCTGGTGTGTTACGCCGAAGGGCGGTTTTACCGGCTATGCCGATACAGATACTTGACTTATGTCGAGTCCTGGTGCCCCTGGCCTAGAGTCAAAATGGCAGCCCAAAAGTCCCTGTCTTCCATGGCCTGCCTCAAGCCAGAATGTTCGTTAGAAGTAATCCGGTTCACAGAGTCTGACGTTTTAGAACACCCTTCAATAGTGTCAGCTGAACTAACACATGATACGCAGTTCTAAGTTCTCCAAAGGTACAAAATAACAGATACTGAAGGACAATTTGTATTGTCATTCTCCCACATGACACACAGTTTCCTCGAGGTGAGGATATCGGTTACTGAACACAGAGGGAACTTGAAACAGGCTATTAAACATTAAACGCCAAGCATATTTAGTGTTTGTCACTATATGGCTTTCTCACTTTGGATGATATAGTATAAATAAGGTAAAATAGTAAAATAACAGATACTGAACAGCACAAAGTGTATTGTCATTCCCCCACACGACACACAGTTTCCTCGAGGTAAGAATATCGGTTACTGAACAGGAGAACTTGGTATGTGAAGAAAACGGGCTATCGAACATTGAACGCCAAGCATATTTAGTGTTTGTCCCTATGGCTCTCTCACTATGGATGATATACTAGTAGTATAAATAAGGTCAAGTAATATGATGTAAAGTGATAATAATTAAATTTGAAAGTGTTCATGAGGAAAAAAATGGGCTTCTGTTATAATGTATACGTAATGCCATCTCTGTTCTTGTAATTGCTGTTACAGGGTCTTTATACGCCACTTCACTGTGCAGCATCAGGAGGACATGTTGGTGTTGCTAAACTCCTCCTGAAGGCTGGAGCACAGGTGGACAGTAGGGATCGGGTAAGGGTTGATGCTTACTACTGATAATTGACATGTTTGAGGGATCAATGTTCCTCATGTTTGGGTTTATTATAATGATATAATAAAAACAGTGTTAATGTCATGATTTAATGAATGAATGAATGAAGAACTTTATTGCACATTTTTGCCACACTTGGCTAAGTACAGGTCACAACAAAAGAAGATGAATGGACACGGTTAACAGATACAAAATTAACTAACTTGATACTTGATTAGGATATCCATAGAATTAACTAACTATCGTTATATGTTCGTATGATCCAGTTTGATGCCATGATGCGCCAAAAAGCAGTTACTCAAGCAACTGGATATGATTTTGAAAACGTCATTGATCGTATTACCTGGATGTCTAACCTTCATCGACGTATGATGCCATGATGTATATATAGTATTTATCATATGTAAATGTAAGATTTTACCTTAAGCAGTTTTAAGGTATGAAGGAGAGACATTTGATTATGAGATGTGTAATTTCATGTAAAGGTGGCTTACAGTAACAGCGAATTATTTTTCATTCTTGTTCTAATGGCATTTACACATTTAAGCATCAAAAATACCATAACTCTACTTCTCACTGGCATTCGTTTCTACAATTCATTTTCCAACGTTTAATCTAAATCATGTTTTAAACTCACCTTCAATGAGCCAGTCTAATGGCTGCTGTTTTCTGTGTAGTTCGGCGAGACTCCTAAGGACATAGCGGCAAGTACAGATGTTTCACCCTGGCAGAATAAAGATCGCATCCTGGAGAGAAGGAAGAAGATTCTCGAGCTTTTTGCAGCAGTAAAGGCCGGCCGGTAGGTAAATCTGGTTTCAGTTTCGCCATATCAATATGGTGTTAACAACTCTAGACAACTACATTCGAAGACGAAGACGCTCATTTTAGGTAGAATAGAAATTTTCAAGAAGACACGACAATTAAAGTTAAAAAAACACACCTTGTTTGATGGTCCTGGTATTCCTAGTCAGTGGATCTATCAGTTGAACACAACTTGTATACTGAATACTATAATCAGAAATCTGTAAGGATTCCCATATTCCAAAATGCACCTCGGTGGAATAAAGTTTGAAACGTTCGCAGAGGTTTTATTATCACGATTTACACGTCCCCAATATATTGCTACTATATTAAAGTTCTATATTGGTTTAGTTGTTAAACAGCGAATTTGAAACACCACCAAAACCTATGTGTTAATATGCTGAAATTCCATGTTCTGTCACAGCCCTTTCACCTACAAGCTCAAAGTGGGTCCAGAAGGAGGTGACCTGAAAACCCCATTTTGTACCATCTCTATACCACGTGGGGCCGTTACCATGGAAACAGAAATCATCTGTCAGGTCATCAACCCCAATGACGTCACTCTTCCCCTGAAGGACGGAGAGATGTTAGTGAGTGACATCATAGAGCTGGGTCCGCACGGGACAACCTTCCGCAAACCTGTCACTGTGCAGATGCAGTACAACAGCAAGGCGTTAGATGGCGCTACGGAAGCTGTCGTTTGGGTCACTAAAGACAGGTCACAATGGAAAGAACTTGAAACCAGTAGAAAAGTAAGTGGACAAACATGAAATTCCTCACGACAACAAAACTTAATACTTATTTTGATGGGAAATGGTGTTTTCCAAATAGATAATGAAAGGACCCAACTTATTCCGTTTCAGGGTGAAGACAGTGTCGCAGTATCAGTGGACCACTTCTCCATCTTTGCCGTCATCAGTCAACCCAAACAGGACAAGTTTACTGTGCCTACAGAAGGGTTTAAGCTGACGTCATCAACGCAGCCTGCGGTACAAATCAGCTTTCCGGAACAGGCTGTGACCACACCAACACAAGTCACAGTTCAGGTCAGGGTTGCATTCATTGGAATCCCGGCGTTATCGAGCACATGTACGATGTCATTGATAAATAGACTTAACAGTGTTGGTCTTAGATTGCCTTTTTCTACTTACAAAAGATAGCATTAGACCGGACGAGGTTTTTACGCACGTCTGAGGTTTGTTGTACATACATTTTATTAGCCTATAACTTGAAGTTCCCCAATCCCTGAATTCAGACGTTTTTAGCAGAGTCCCTCTCCAGGACACGAAGTCAAATACCTTTTCGAAATCGACAAATCGCCTCTTACTTGGCACAGTTCCCGCACGGGAAACTCTCAATCTCCCGTCCCCTGGCTTCCCGTGCCTCAGCTTAGCTCATTGTGGCCATATTACAGTTATATCAGTAAGTTGTCAAGTATACCTTGGTGGATTTCTGATTGTCAATAAATATGTGCCTAGTAATAAATAATATGATAATGTATGATTATGTGATGTAGGTGAGAAAACACTACAGCGTTGATTTAAAAACCACTAAAGACAACGTATTCAATTTTGGTGGTCATTGTCAAAGGCCTGGTGGATGTTGGATATCATATCATCATGGAAACGTTTTGCCAATTTCTCCTATTATCCTCCGTATAATTGATATAAATTATAACACAGCGTTTCATTTCAACTCTAGGTGCAAGAGGTTCCACAGAGAGCAGTTAAGGACATCAAGGCAAAGGATGAGTCTTTCGGCAACCTTGTTGGCACCAGCCCGATTGTCAATGTCACTACTGAGTCAAAATCTGACGTCCGCATCCACAAACCGGTCACAGTGCGAGTCCCAAATCCTAAACGTCGCATGGACATCCAAGATGAGAGGCCCACCAAACTGAGGGTGATGTCATGTGAGGAGGGGACAGAAGACTGGAGGGATGAAACAGAGAACACTAACCCGCAAGAGTCTGCAGAATTTGTGGAGTTTAAAGTCATCCATTTCGCCAGGTAATATACTAGTAATCTCTTATCTTACATCAAGGACTAAGAAGATAATAACAAAAATTAAATCCAGGGTATGGTTGGTATTGGTTGAATACAATGGTGACAAAAATAATTTCAGTTACATCATGTTTGTACATTTTCCGTAATATGTTAAAAATAAACATCTATCAGCCGCATTTGTCACTCTAGTAAAGAGATAACTGTATATTTATTTCCAGATGGATTGTACTGGTTGTCACAGACATCACCGGTGACACAGAGCTAGGACCAGTTCCCCTAAAACTTTGCCGATGGCTTCAACTCCGTGTTGTACAGTTCATCATGCTACAGAGCGGGGACGACGCAAACCAGTTTGTCGTAGAGTGCGCCAAAGCGGAGGAGGCAAAAAGGAAACGCCAAGCACTGCTTCAGGAAGGTTACAAGGGCTTGGTACCTACGGACTCGGTAAACCTTTTTGAAGGACAAGTAGTTGAAGTAAGTTTGCTGGGAAACGTGTCGATCCCAGCATTTGGCGTAGGAAACAGCACGAAACAGCAAATCACCTTCCACAGCCAGAAAAGCAACCGGCTCCACATGCAGGTCATGGCTTTAGAGGCGAAGGGCCAACACGGTCTAGATGGTAAAGGAAGTGCTGCCTTCTTTGCCATGCCACGCGTCAAAGTGCAGAAAGAGGAAGTTGAGAAACAAGAAGGAGGCCTGGAAGCTCTTGTGCAGAAGGGACGCGTAGAAGTCAAGGATTCCCCGGGCAAACAATCTGCAAAGCCAGAATTGCTGTGCCAGCTCCCAATCCATGTGCCATTTCAAACCCGAGAGGCAAAGCAGTATTTCTTTAAATCTATTATTACCTCCATGAAAAATGGAGGTATTGTTTTTGGCGTGTCTGTCTGTATGTATGTCTGTGTGTGTGTCTGTCTGTCTGTGTGTGTGTCTGTGTTTCCTCAACTTTGTAGTCAGCATAACTTCATAACGCCTTTATGGATTATGATGATATTTGGTATGTTGGTAAGTCTTAGGAAGACAAAGGTCAATGTCAAATATGGGCCTCCTGGTGGATGACCTTGGTACTGCAGCAGAACTTCCGGTTTTTGTATCTTTTGTCCTGAACATGCTATGGTCTTGATGTTTTGATGACAGATTGCTTTTCCTGTCAGGAATAAGTGGTGTGAGTTTGATCCCCCTAGTGACTTGTTCTGGAACTGCAGGGCACTTTCTGGCGAAATGTTTAAAAGCCAATAAGTCCAGATAGGAACAGCATATTTTCATAATTTTTGGTGTGTAGGTAGCTGAGAGAGAGATGTACCTAATTAAATGCAAATTATACAAATGAGGACTTTATTTGCATAATTAATGAGGAAATTCTATAATTACAGTGTTTTACATTATACTACTTTTTAAACATGTAATGTATGTAACCTATGGCAGGCGGAACATCAACAGATACTAATTATGCAAACGATGAACTAATTTGCATAATTAATGCGAAAATTCTATGATTTCTTAATGGTGAATGATGGGAATGTCATACTTGGGACATATGTAAGTTAATCAAAAGTTAACATACATCACGATGCATATATCATGTTAATGCAGAGGTCATTTGCATAATTAAAGACGAAATTTACATTTACATATCAAGCCCGTATGTCATGGAGGTATGAGATCTCGGAATTCTTGTTAGTAGTGGCCTTCAAAGGAGCACTTACAGATACCTTAGGGAATAACATTGAAATCAAGGTGAAACAAATAACAATACTTAATTGTAACTACTGCCATGTATGATAACTTCTGAATCATAAGCTGCTTGTAACAAACGTCAACACACACATTGAGGTGATCACTACTCTTTACTGACCCTTTTTATTCTGTTTACAGATACCAAGGGGAGCCGAAGGTGGCAAAAGTTTGGAAGGTAGGAAAATTTAACAGATTAATATATTACTTACAGTACAAGTTGGTTCTATATTGAACATAGTGGTTTAGACTAAATGTTTGTTCATTGCTATTTGCAGTATGCAATGTCTTACATGTGGTAAGAAATATCTAATATGGTATATTAAAAGCCGTGATAGAATGTTAAGGATGAATTGGAACGGTGTATTTCCAAATCTTGTTTCACAATCTCTTTCAGACGTCGAGAAGTATTTCTATTTCACCAAGGAAGAAGTAAGCACCGACTGGGTGGATTTGGCCTTCCATCTTGGGCTCAACTGGGCTATCATCCAAAACATCGCCGGCAGAAACCGCGACGACAAGTCCCGCTGCATGGACATGCTGCAGGAATGGAAGAAGAAGAAGGGAGACGCCGCTACCATAGAGGTCCTGATGGAGGCTCTGTCCGAGGCAGGTCTGCAGAGCGTCGTGGATGGTTTGAAGAAACAAGTTGCAAACTATGGGTAAGTATGTACTTATAAACCTGCTTTTCTGGCAACTCTCCAGTGTCACTGACGAAAGCTAGTGGATGCTGCCTGAAACGTCTGACCGTTTCCGAAATCATATCCTGTTGCTTGAGTAACTGTTTTTTGCGTAAGTATGTATTGCTTCAAGCAAGTGTTTTGTAAATGTTGGACCTAATGTTCAACAAAAAGTAGTTCATTTTTTTTTAACGTTAGGGTGTGGTCGTGGATAAATAATCTTCATTCTCCTGTCCCACCAGGCTGAGTCCAAAGGCAAGGGGACAAACTGCCCTCCGAAAAGGTAACAGATACTTACACGTCTGTGTCTTTCATAGTGATACAATGAATACAAATAACATCATCAAGTAAACTAACCATTCAACATAGAGATGTCCACCACATCATGGATTTGAATACACTAAAAATGACCTTGCCGTCTTTGTTTTTGTTCGCTCATCCGTCACAAGCACGATTTTCTTTTGCAGCCGTTGCAGACCGGTGCCGTATCTCTTGAAATGTGCAAGATCTGACAAGACCATCTTCACTCGTCAACAATGAAGACCTCCGGATTCAACGCCAACTGGTTCCATGATCACCCTCTTTAACAAGGCTTTATTTCTAGCGTTAACGCATGTATCATTTTGCTTATCAATTTTATGACAGGCTTATTTTGTAGGCGCGAGCGGCTACTGTTGTGTCTCAGCTGCATTCTTGTAGGTAAACGTCTTATAATAATATAGAGGTATCTCCGGAGCTCGCCCGTTTCTAAGTTCGCCCGTTTCTAAGTTCGCCCGTTTCTAAGTTCGCCCGTTGCTAAGTTCGCCCGTTGCTAAGTTCGCCCGTTGCTAAGTTCGCCCGTTGCTAAGTTCGCCCGTTTCTAAGTTCGCCCGTTGCTAAGTTCGCCCGTTGCTAAGTTCGCCCGTTGCGAAGTTCGCCCGTTGCTAAGTTCGCCCGTTGCTAAGTTCGCCCGTTGCTAAGTTCGCCCGTTGCTTAGATTAAGCTTACTAGCAGAAGAAGACACAGCTTACCTTACGGAGAGAAGCAGCTTCTGGCCTGAGCACTTAGGCAGCAGGCAGGCAGTAATTGTTTACTCACTCTCTGTAGTTCTTCGGTACTACATCCAAGTGTACACTGGAGACTTTAGTACCTTAAGCTTCCAAGCGTTTGAGTGTTCATGTTTTAAATCTGAAGACCCTAAATGGATTTAGGGTCTGCAGAGGACGTCGTCCATAGAAACGTGTGGCCTACTTGTCGCAATGATGCCATTGGGCCGCATTTCTAGATTTGAAGTACAACAGTTCATGACCAAGGACATTATATACATGTAATAAGAGAGTTCAGGCACGGTTCTGGATAGTCCACGCGTATGCATGTCGCAAATCTACGTGCTTGGATACGCGGAGACTACTAGTATATATCCAGAACCGTGCCTGATCCTAACCCTAACCCATTCAGGTACAGAACCGGACAGACGCGGGTATGGATACAATAATGACCAAACAGCCAACATTCATAACAGGAGCAGCTTTATTAATTTGTAGTTCAAAACATGTAAACATTTTTGGCAACGCCCACGGGTGGTGCCAACATTACTATAGGTAATTCCAATGATGCGGCCATCTTGGTGGGAACATGGATCCAAGATGGCGACCTTTTGTAATGCAAAAAGGAATATTGAAAGGAATGCATTAGCTATACTACCTAACCATGCAGAGCCAAGCAACAGGTCAATTCCTTGGAAAGTTAACCACTTAACATGCATCGGTAAAGCCACACTGACTTTTACTATGGATGACATCCTCTGAAGACACTCAAACCAGTGTGCACGGGTGACTAAAAAAATTCCGGCAAAAAATAACAATGCTGCTAAACCACAGGAATACAAGCTGGTATTGTGAATTTGCGGTACTACATAGCGACTTTTATGACAAGTCGGCACATGCTGTCTTTTTGTGGAATTTATGAATCGGCACTGTACGTATGTACTGTGTTCTTGAGTCGTGGAGCTTCGGCAGCCTGGGTGCCATCCTCCGTAGTTACCACCGGCTCCCTACTGTCACTGCCTACCATGGACTATGGAGGATGGCGCCCAGACAAGAGCCATGATTTTTGTTTTGGAGAACAGGCGAAAATCAATGCGCGCGCGGATGTTATCCATAAAATTAAATCAGTGTGGCGTAATCAACCAACATGGCTGATGCAAACATTACCTCATAGTCATGTGACTGCAAACATACCATATTTGGTCATGTGTCAGCAAACCTATCCAGAATGGGCTGTGTCTAGGTTATAAAAAGCATGCATAGCAAAACATGTACCAACTTTGTCTTCATACAAATAGCAAATATAAGTTAGGATATATACATAAACAGCTTTTGCATGAATATGAAGCAAATGGCAAAAGTGGCCATGAACATTTTTCACTTTCACTACCATAAAAGTTCTTCACAAGAACAGCAGCAGCAAGTATTCATACAACATTGGCCAGCTTTTTCTTTCAACGTTAGACCACACAAAATGAATTTCTCGGTTCCCAGATTTTCGCAGGAAAATTTGTGGCATTATGTAATGTCACAGAAGTGGTGGATAATTTCTTGACATAGACTGGACTTGTACAGTCGACAATTTGGTTCAATTTCTTGTGTTCGAAATTATAGTTTAAACTTATTTCTTGACTTCTTCCAACACAAATGAACAAGACATCCTGAATGGTATTGTGTCTATTCTGTATCTGTATTGGTATACTATTAGCCGGTATAACCACCTTTCGGCGTAACACACCAGCTTCGCAGGCACGCGGCGCGGCGGTAGCTGGCTACATTACACCGAACGACTTGTACATGTTACATTCATTTTTGAGAAAACAACAATCCAGGAACCAAGAAATTAGTTTGGTGTGGCCTTACACTGTGTATCAAAAGCTGGAAAAGTTATCTATAATACATTGCAGGGCTATATTATATTGATATGCAGCGTACCAACATTTGATAAATCTCAAACGTCGTTTCTTCACCTTAGCAGCAATTAGTAAGAATAACCGGTTAGATATTTTTTTTCACTATTAAGAAATTTCCAGCACCTATATAACTAATATAACTAAAATATAACAATTATTACATTCATATCAATACTAAAATATAACTGTTACAACATCCATATCCATACAAATGCACCCATATCCATATAATCAACTAAAATATTTTCATATCATCCTTATTATTTAATATAAAACAATTATAGAACATTGCTCGGAGCTTATGCTCTGGTCAAAAAGCACAGTAAAAAGATACAATATATATAAATATAGAGCATGACATAATAAAAAGATATCTGCTTGGAAAATTCAAAGTTCTGGAATATTTTGTCACAAAACATTTGTAATATTTCTTGTGAATGACACAATAAACATGTTTTAACCCTTGTCTCTGCTAAGCGTGCATTCGTGCACCAGTTTTGTACAATAACAACAGAAGGTAGCAGGGTTAGGGTTAAAGCTCTGGACTGGAGTACAATCTTTCTCTTGGAGAAAAATGTGACAGATAACATGTTTATCTCAACTACTGACAGTAACATTTCTTAAGGCCACACCAATCTAACTTGTTGGTTCTCAGATTTTCTCAGAATAAAATATGACGCGACACGGCAAAAAAAAAAAACAGGTCTAGGCATCCTTCTATAGCCCCCAGTACTACGATTGGAGCCATGAAGTCAACACAAAAGGCTGCATTGATATCTAAACAATGAGTTTTGAACTTTTAATCAAACCACTGCATTGATAGATGGAAAAACTGCAACAAGTAGGAAGAAAAGGACTTTCCTCAACTGTTGAGGGCAAAATACGAGCATATTTGAGTTGATTCAGAACCAGAATCTTTTTTTTGCAGATCAGAAAAAAATGAAGAGGTAAATCCGAGAACCAACAAATTAAATTGGTGTGGCCTAACCTTCTCTTTCTAAGGGTGTCGTTATGCCCCATTTTCGGGGATTTACAGAAGACATTGGCAGAACAAGGGTTAAGGTTCTTTCTTTCCTCCAACTGCAATAATACTTATTTTTCTGGTTATATTTTGATTGAGGAAAACTTATCTGAACAGTAATACATATTGAAGATATCCGTACACTTAAGTATGAAAATCTTGCCTAATCTTCAAGAACATTTCGTAAGTTTCTACCATCTACATTTTGGATTAACAAAAAGTGGTCTAAGAATCCAGCCACTTTAACATTTCTTAACAGCCTTATTATCAATTCTTAAGATATCTGAAAGATTGAATAAACTTGTCCTTAAAGATTCATTTAAGGTTCCTTTAAAATTTTTTGAAGGCTCTTTAAAGCTTCCTTAAAGATTATTTATAGATTATGTAAAGTTCCTTAAATATTAAAGTCATTAAAGGTTCCTTAAAGATTGTTTAAAGACTTCTCAAAGATTCCCTAAAGATTTCTTAAAAGTTCTTTAAAGGTTCCCATATTTTTTAGAGAAACGTCTTTCAAGGTTCCTTAGATATTTCTTATTAAGGTTTGTTAAAGATTTGTTAAAGATTCCCTAAAGGTTGCTTTAAGATTCGTCAAAGGTTCTTTCGAGGTTCCTTAGAGTAAAGGTTCCTTATTGATTATCTAAAAGTTCTTTAAATTTGATGTCCCTAAGGATTCCACAGATTCTTTAAAGACGTCGAAAAGATTCCTAAAGGTTCTGAATCTTTAAAGGTTCCTTAAAGATTTCTCAAAGGTTCTGTAAATATTCCTCCTTAAATATTGAAGTCCTTAAAGATTCCTTAAAAATTCTTTCTTTGAAGAGTTCTCAAAGATTCCTTAAACTTTAACTTAAACATTCCCTAAAGGATTCTTAAAGGTACCTTAAAGATTTTATAAAGATTCCTTAAAGATTTGTGAAAGGTTCCTCTCATCAATTCTCCACCATTGCGCCATATCTTGACGGCAGTTTCACGACGCAGCAGGCGATTAAAGATTCCTTAAAAATTCTCAAAGATGCAATAAAGATTCCCTAAAGATTTCTTAAAGGTACCTTAAAGATTCCTTAAAGATTTGTGAAAGGTTCCTCTCATCAATCCTCCACCATTGCGCCGTATCTTGACGGCAGTTTCACGATGAAACAGGCGATTAAACATTCCTTAAAAATTCTCAAAGATGCAATAAAGATTTCTAAAAGGTGCCTTAAAGACTTCTCAAAGGTTCCTTCAAGTTTCCTCCCGTCAATCCTCCACCATTGCGCCATATCTTGATGGCAGCTTCACGACACAGCACGCTACTCCCGCTGCTGCCTGCGGTAAACTCGCCTCTCGTCTCCAGATATTCTCCTCGGGTCTGTACGACTGAACACTTCCTATAACGTCCCGGTTGTTCCAGTCATAACCTCCAAGCAGGAAGATTTTATCGTCGATCACTGCCGTGCCTGCTTCGCTCTGTCCTGTCAGCATAGGAGCAATCGACGTCCATTGGTCGGACGCGGGGCAGTAGGATTCTGCGGTTAGAACGTGCAGCCTCGCGT